TCATCTTTACTTTCCGCTCCTCTCCTCCTGACCTCTTTATCACATTCTCTCACTGGTTTTGTAAGACAGTCATTGGAATCAGCTTACAGAAAGATTTAAGATTTATTTAAAGGAGTAGTCACTTCAGAATTAAAATTTCATGATAATTAACTCACCCCTATGTGTCATCCTAGATGTTCATGTCTTTCTTTCTTTAGTCAAAAATATATTAAGAAAAGAAATTAAGGTTTTTGAGGAAAACATTCTAGGCTTTTTTCTCCGGTCGACTAAATCTAGAATGTTTTCCTCAAAAACCTTAATTTATTTTCTACTGAAAATTTGGTGTAATGAAGGAACAAAAGGAAGTTAAGTTATGAAGGAACAAAATTCATTGAAATCAAAGTGAACATTTCCATTTAACCAATGAGTCATACTTAACTTATATTTGCTTATCCATGCATTCATTCGTTCACTGACCTATAAAATCATGTGACTGACAGTGGCAGATGTAGGAATGAAGTTATCAAATTAAAGATGACAAGTTCATTTGACCACTTAAATTGGACAACATAACTTAATGTGCTATTTGAATATTTGGAAATTACATTACAGTTTGGATTTCGGAAATTCTGAAGATTATTGTTGATATTTTATGAATCAGTCTATAGAAATGTCAACTGTAGCATAAAAATACAATGTAAAAATTGGTAACATGCAAATTTTATATTAAATAGTTTTTTTTTTTTTTACTTAATTTAACCCCTGTGTTGTGTTCAAAACCCTATAACATTTGTCATGTTCCCGATCAAAAATTACCGGCTTAAAATGGTACCTTATAAATCACTCGTTATGCTATATCATCACCCAATACTGGATTCAATCTTTTTGTCAACTTGTTTTCTTTCAATTATGACAGGCTTTATACTTTTATTTGCATCTGATTAATCACAGGCCTCATTTATCTGAGAGTAGGCATCTACTTTTTCTTTGTAAAAAAAAAAAACACCATTATTTATGAATAATTTCAGAAATATTCAATAAAATATGAAGAAAAATTGCACAGTTGATCACACTAGTCTACTTTGTTACACCACCAAGTTTGTTTTGAAAAACTTTTATTTTGTAAAAAAATGGCACATAGTCGCACTTGTGGTGTTCCCGTTCAAAAATGATCGCACAATTAAAGTGAATGGGAGATACTGAAAATAAGAGAAACATTTTCAGGAGCATGTTCATTATGTTTATGTACACATATGTACATGTGGGCTTGCAAACATCGAGCCCTTGGACCTGTGCATTTGTGGATAGATGCATATACACACACACACACACACACACACACACTTTCATCATAGTTTTCAGACAATATATTATGACATTGTGTTTTGGAACTAAAATGTACAAATATAGATGTTATATTTTACAGACACATAAATGCTTCAGTGTCTTGCTTGTCATTCATTTTTTAGCAGCACAATGCCAAAGAAGCTCTCTGTGCATGATGTTCTTCATCAGATCATTGATCGAGTGAACGAGCATTAGAAGAAGATCAGTAGAAGAAGGCACCACATGATAAATACCTTGAAACAACTGATGAGCAGCAGTGTTCTGATGATGAAGGCCCAGCTGATGATACGGTTACATTCTGGTGGAAAGATGTAACTTTGTCCTGGTCTTCCTCCCCACCTAAGGCAAGGTAGGGTTTCTTCTGAGATTCATCCTGCATTGCCTCATAGGTGGGGATGAAGAAAAAGTCTTATAACAAAGTCACTAAGTTTCCAATACGATAACATTAACTAGTATTTTTGGGAAAAAGAAAATCTTCAGTGGGTCAAAATGACCCGAACACAACATGAAGGTTAATTAATAAATTATTTTGTTGGTGTAAATTAATGTATTTATATTCAGAAATTGATTTATTCCATACATTTAAATCTTCATTATACATATGAAAAAACTCTGACTTATAGGATCAGGTATTGGGTTTGTATAGTCATTATAATTATTTTAATGCCAATATTTAGTTCCAGTCCTCTAATCCGATTGGACAAGCAGAGTTTAAAAGTTTGTATCACTCTGCCGGTATGTGTCCACAGTGTTCTGACCGGAGTATGTGAGTGGTGATGAGGGACAGCAGAGCATATGTCATATTGCTTTATTACATAACAACAATAGACATCTATGGTATGAACACATTTAGTTAAACGTGTATGGGGTCATCGGTCATCTCTGTTGCTATAGTGTCATTTTTCATATAAAAGTCAATATGCACTACAGGGGAAAAGAATGACGTTCTTTCATTTGGGAGTTTGCCCGAACTGATGTGCTCTAGAGTGTCAGAGCCATCAAAACTAATAAAACTAACTAAACCAGGCGCTTCATCATCTACAGCCTTTTCCTTTACATTACATACAGATATTTCTTGTGTTTGCTTTTCTCATTCGGTCAAAAATAAAATCTTGTAAAATGCTAACTCTACTCCGCACTCCTAAGAATGAACTAAAAGTTAATAACACAGACTTCCTAATACATACCATATATAATAATATTACTATTCATCTTTCAAAAGACACACACAGCACTTTGTTCTATTCATGGCTTCATTCTAAAGATTAGATCCGGTGAGAAATGAAGGCACAAAACAATTAAAGTCTTAATTATGTTACACTACAGTATTCCCTGGTTAAAATAGATGGGGTTTCCCAAAAGAAAGAAATAGAATGACGGAGTAACCACCATAAGAAAGAGGGGGAAAAGGGATAGGGTCTTAAATGACTTGCAAAGGTCAGAGACTTGGATATGTGTTGTTTCCTTCAATGGAAACGGACCACTTACCAGCTATTTTTAGTTCTGATAACATAAGACCCAAGGAGCTGTCAATCACATACTGGCATTCCTTAGAGACATTGTGCAAGCTGGCCTTTCGCCCAATCATCACAGAGGGACAGACAGAAAGAGAATGCTGTCAAGTTATGTATCTACTGAATGACCTCAGAGAGGGTCCATGGAGGATCCACACAATCTTCAACGTCAGCATTATACTCACTAAAGCATACAGAAGATCTGAGTGTTATGAAAATGCTTACAGTTCAACAATATAAAAGTGTGAATATCATGTGTGCACTGTACTGTATATCTTCGTGTCTATGAGTGGGTAGGGCTGTTTTATGTAGAAGTGAAAAAATATAGCAAAATGAGTCCCAACAAGTCAAGAAAAGGGAGAATCGATATATTAGAATCAAATCAGCATATTAGAGTGATTTCTAAAGGATTGTATATATGAGGAAGGCCAACAGAAGGTCTTCTTTGGCACTTCACAAAATTTCTATGATGTTATGGGAAGAATGTGTCACAAATTCAACAGTGCATTGCACTCTACTACATATGGGGCTGCATAGCCGCAGACCAATCAGAGTACCTATGATGACCCCTGTCCACTGCCGAAAGCGCCTACAATGAGCTTTGGAAGTGGACCTTGAAGCAGTGGAAGAAGGTTGCCTGATCCAATGATGAGTCCCCTTTCTTCTACAGGGGTTGGACAATGAAACTGAAACACCTGGTCTTACAACACAATCATTTATTAGGATGGTGAGGGCCTCATTTTGCATCCAAATAAAGCACCAATTCATCTTGGGAATGACAGATCGAAGTCCTTCACAGTGACCAGAGGGATTATGAGCTGTTCCTCTTCCAGAACAGTGCCAGGTCACTATATGATGCTGGTGGAGGAAAACGTTTTCAGACACCTCAATAATATTCAGATCTGGTGACTGTGCAGAAAATGGGAGATGTTCAACGTCACTTTCATCTTCATCAAACCCTTCTGTCACAAGTCTTGTATGTGTTGGTGCATGATCAAGCAGATACGCGGTTTGAGCAACAGGTGCTCATAATCCTCCAGCTCATGATTTTTGAATCGTGTCCATCAAACACAGTCAGGATTGTCATGATATTGCAGCGCAAACCAACACTGATCCACCCGTGCTTCACTCTGAAGATTGGCCACCAGGCATATAGATGTGAAACCTCCAACATTGGCCAGTGTTTCAGTTTCATTGTCCAACCCCAAAAATTGGTCTTTGGTGGTGACTGACGAACATCCACACAAAAAGTACAAAGCAACCTTCCCATGTGAACTGCAAGCTCAGTACTGACAATAAATCCCCAAAAATGCAAAGAAAAAGTTTGTAATATTAACATATCCTATTTATTAATAAAAAAAATCACTGTCAAGACAGATCAGAAAACAAAATGTCTAGAATGATTCTATTATTAAAAATCTGTAAATTTACATGTAAAAAGTCACTGAGTGACTGACTTGAAAAGTTAGTAACAAAAAGAACACACTCCAAGACTTAATGCACAGATCATTTAACGTACAGTAACGAGACGAGACAAATACATTTAAGCAGGCTAGAAAGGTTTATGAAAATGGAGCTAAAGCACTTTGATCTCCCGGCCTGTCACAAGCTCTAAAGGTAACAAGTCATGCACATGCACAAATTCCTGCTCTCCATGATCAAGCAACAAATCCAACTTCATTTGTCTTAGAAATGGCCTTCAGTCTGAATTACAAGGGTCAGTGTGAGTACAAGGCAACATAGAAAACTAGCCTAGCACACACACATACACAAACCGACCAATCAACCAAAATAAAGGCAGTCATCTCCAATTTCCGTTCGCTGTAGACCCTGCAGAGACCACTCATGGGAAATAACAAGACTTTCTATGGACCAATCTCTGTTAGTCTGTGTGTGTGATCTCGCTTTTATCAATGTGCAGGGAATACAATATGAAACCTCAGGTGCAAAAATACTATCAGTACACACCCTAAACTAGGCACACACAGACTCTGCAGAGTATGTGTTAAATATAGAGGAACAGACTGTTTTTTTCCCCAGCTAATGAGTCTTGCACTGCAAAAGAAGTGTCTGAGAAAACAGCTGCTGTGGGCCAATCAGCAGTGATTACTCAGCACTTAAGAGTCTGTGTCTGTGAGAGAAAGTGTCTGAAAGACTTACCCTAATTCTTCTCATAGCAGCGACAATCTCCATGCGACTGTTGGGTCTTGGGACATCCAAGCTGCCAACATACTGGAAAAAAAAAACATGCTTGAATGTTAGATAAAGAGTGTTTTGTTTAAACTCTGATATTAAAGGAGAACTTCGGTCAATTTTAACATTGAGCTCATTTTTTTTGTACATTTGGAGTGTTGTCTGAAAAAAATGTACTCCAAATGTACAAAAAATGAGCTCAATGTTAAAATTGACTGGAGTTCTCCTTTAAATGCAACAGAGGAATTGACCAGTCTAAAATTAATGAGGAAGCTTCATTTGGACAAACACACATAAACACACTTTCTAAGTTAATGAGTGCAAAGTTACATTTTCAGCTGCAGGACATTGTCAGCCTCATTTCTCAAAGTCTATTTATGCTTAAATGCATCGAAATTAAATCGTTCTCAACTGATTTTGCTTCAAGACTCACACATAGACAAGTGCTCACCGTACCAAAGTTGTTACAAAAAAAATTAAAATCAATTAAAAAAATGTATCAATATTACCAAAACTAGATAGGCAACATCAATATGCTAAATTATTCAAAAGACATACTAAAAAATTGCCTGTGCAAATTTATAATGCCTCAAGTTTGATTATTTGCATTCACAATCTAAAAAAAAAAAATCAGGGACTCGGGGTCACAAAATAATGAGGGCAAGAAAGATCCAACATATATTTATAAAAGTGAAGTGTAGATCAGTGCCAGCTGCAAAAAACACAATTAACCAAGTATAGGCTCTGTGTTTACAAACAACATTGTGTTCTTAATGAACTTTTCTACGGAGATGTTGACCTTAAATACTTATCTCCAGCTTCCAAAGTCTAAATCCAGCTGAGAGGGACAACAATACTGACAACAGTTCAGCAAAAATAGCAACAAGCTGATTTAAGCTCTGAAAGGCAAGACCGCAATACTTCAGTCAGAATGTGTGATTTTGAATGTGAGTGGTTAGGTCTTGGCTTTCCAGCCAATAAAATTCCTGGAAGATAATCCTGCATTACAAATTGGAGCTAAAATTACTCAGCAATAAGCTTTGAGTAGATCAGTATACAAAGGCTTTAGGTTTCCTGGGACGTTTAACAGTCTGCAGATTTGAGACACCGACAGATAAGCTTTATAGGAATGCACCAGTATAACATACTGTATAGATCATATGAGAAAACAAACTACAATTTTAATGGAATATGCAAGTGTCTGAAAATGCAGATGTATTTAAGAAATGACTACGGTAAAAATAGAAGAGTTATCTGGGACCTTAAAGCATGTGCTGGCTTTTATTAATGGGTACAACTTAAATATTTATCAAGTGGTCATAAGCAGGGAAGTCAGAAATACTGAGAGTATGCCAAACACGAAACTGGTTGGTGTTATATGAATATAGGCAATAAATAAAACCAATTTATAATCCTATATAGGTTTATAGTAAGATTTCATGTAATGAAATGTATTACAGAAAATCTAGCTGCTGTTTGTTGCTTTTTTGTGGAAAAAATACACTTACTGTCCCAAAACCTTAGCCATTGATTGGAAATCATGATGTTTAATGTCAAGCTAAGGCAGCTCAATATGTTTTTTGACACAGCCAAGTAGGGATTTATTCAATGAAATGTTAATGATTCAATGTCAAAGTCAGATAACCACAGCTTCTGAAGAAACCAAATACCCTCCAGAGTTTAAGACATCTCAGCTCAGTAAAAGTACCAGTGTAACCAGCCGTGTAGCCATTAATGGGAAAGTTGAGCCAGACACCAAAAATAGTGTCGGTGAAAAAAACTCTCTGCATATATGGGTCAGTGACATTTCTCGTATGGATCTATAAAGTTAATAAAAAATACATTAAAAGGCATGGTGAATTTTTTTTCCAGATTCTGAATTAAAAGTAAATTTGATTGTTTATTTTATAAAAAGGCTGGCTTAGGGTGGGTGAAACATTAGCTTTAAGCAGCTCAGCTATTTTTATTACTAAAAAAGAAGGGGAAATATCAGTTAACCAATATGTTGTTTTCGAAAATTATGCAAATTCAGCATGGCGCAACCAACATGCAGAACGCTTGTCATGACAAGAAACAATTTAATAGTGGTATTTAATTATTAAATATTTTACCTTTTTATAAAAATGTTCTTAAACGGGTACTGTTTAAAAAACATCAATTTCAAAATATGTGTGATGAAAATATTAAAACCTTATTACCACCTATATATATATATATATATATATATATATATATATATATATATATATATATATATATATATATATATATATATATATATATATATATATATATATATATATATATATATATATATATATATATATATATATATATATATATATATATATATATATATATATATATATTAATACTACATTTCTATTCGGTGGATTTTCACTGAGAGTCTGCCCAAAACATCATGATTGTCTGATGTGTAAATTACCCCATACAGCCGGTGACCCATTTGACGTAGCCTACACGACAACGTAAATAGTAGCTAACAATGTAAATACGTTTAAGTGGAGATCATCAGTTTCACCTTGGCTTGGAAGTGTATTCCGTGTTGATACGCTTCCTCGTTGTGAAGCGGGACTCGCGAATCCGCCACATCGTCCACCAGGTTGTACCTGTTCCTCCCGTGCATTTTCATTGGGTCCCGTCCGGATGCTCGGCGAGAAATTTCTTCTGCCAGTCCTCAAGCTTCAGAACTACTGCCAACTAAAAAAGATAGCTCTAGTTCAACCAGAAAAAACAAGTCGCCGATACAAGAGCGACTCAAAGCGAGGGAGCCCATTATAGTAGCAGCCCGGGAAAAGCTCAATGGAATCACAGGCTCTTCAGCACAAAAGAAATGGGTTGGGCGCCTCTATCCCCCTCTCAGACATCAGCTGCGTTTATACAAGTTTGGCTTCGGCACAAGTTGTTCAAGTACCTCACCGAGGAAGTTTATTAAAAGATGTGCTATGAGTGAATTCTGCACGCCTCGTGTCCCCATGACATGCTTTATTTGAATTGCTCTCTTATGCCTCTGATGCAATTCTCATGGAGCAAAGTTCCGTCTGCTAAACAACAGCATTCAAGCCTTTCAAACACCACATTTAGCATAATAAAAGCGCACTTCCTTATATAGTTCATCATTGATTACTTTCAACAGAACACAACCAGTTCTCATAGCCTAGCCTAAAAAGTTCTCAAAGGTTAAAACATCAACAATTATTAGTCCTGGATTTTGTAGACTACCTGGCTACAAGTCGTGTATAGCCTATAGATTTTGCAGCTTTGAAAACAGATTCAGAAAATGTTTTGCATTTGCAAACAAGTTCTATTAAATTGGCCTTTTTGCTCCATAGCGAAGAGATTTGGGTCTGACCAAACTGAATTTACCAAGATTTAAAGGCAATGTCTCTTCACATCCTGATAGCAATCAATATTAGAAGTAATCTAAATATTAACAAAAAAATTGCATACTGTATCTTCTGTGGAAGACTATGATTAAACAATGTTCATCCAATCATTGCATTCAGTCCAAATAAAATTAATGTCCTATATATATATATATATATATATACCACGCACCACAGACATCACACATCATCAGCATCATCAACACAAGTGCTGCAAACAAACAGCAGCCACCTTTACAGTTCCTATATATTTTTTATTTATATTTGAAGAGTTCAGATGCAAAAGCCTCCAAGTGCCATTTGAAATTTTCTTCTAGAATGATCATTTTTATCAAGCTTGAAATTTAAGTTCAGTAATTTCACTTAAATTGCAATGAAGATTACCTATTAATTGTCATTTAAGTGAAATTACTGAACTTAAATATAAGCTTGATAAAAATGATCATTCTAGAAGAAAATTTCAAATGGCACTTAAAGGCTTAGCATCTGAACTCTTCATTTATATATTTTATACTACATGTGTAGGGGAACAACACATGGATTTCTGGATAACACATGGATTTCTGGATACATTTCTGGATTTTTACAATTTCATCAGGTGATATTTGAGATTATTTAATGCTTCTGTAAAACTAACACTAACAGACTAGTCAAACATATGTTATATATTTAACCAAATATTAGAGGGAAAAGGGGGGAAATGTAATTTTCACAACCGTCTTTTCCACATCTGTCTCCATGGAAGTGTTAAAGACAGGTTAAGGACCTTGTCTGTGCCTAAAAGCAAAGTTTGCCTATAGTACTTAAAACATATAGTGTAATTACATAAACTTTACATATGTCATAGATATTTTAAATTGAGATATTTTATTGTTTACAATAAAAAACTTTTTTATGAAGCGCAGTTGTTCATCAATACACTATTCCTGTTTGAAATAAAAATAAGAATAAACTTTGAGATTAATTTTGTCCTACATATTGAGGTCATGACTCACGTTTGCAATTCCATCATTTATAATTCTACTAGGCTAGTAGGCCTACAGACTCTGAATTACGTATTTCTACTATCAACACCAAAATTAATCTGACTGCAGCAGTCAGGTGGTTCAAAGTCAGAGATCTAGGCTACTATACGTTCATTATTATTGAGATTTTATAGCATATGCTTGCTATTGCTAACATCTCAGAAATTGCCTATTCATACTTTGGCTGGTGGGCAAGAACCTTGTTCTCTAGCTACAAAACCCAGTAAACTCTTGCCAGGTGATCTTGCCAGGGCGTTGCCAGATTTAATATACAAAAGTTGGTGTTTTGAGGTGTAAACAACACCTCAAGGTCAATTTGACAGATTTTTAACTACAAAAAAGCCATTGAACATTTGCACCATTGTTGCCAATGAAATGTAATGCTGCTCAAACAATCAAACAAACAAATGAATAAATGTTAATTACAGCCGGCCCCATTTCCAAGTTGTGACATTTTGTAAAATGCAATACAATTCACAATCTGATATTTGTTAATTCTCAGCCCATTCTCACCCCCAAGGCGTCACCTAACTGATCGTGGGACGCCCTAGGATCGTGTGTAACCCCACCCCAGACCTAAACTATATGGGGAGGCTGCAGACCTGGAGCCGGCAGTTTTACGCCCCTGACAGTTTTACGCCCCTGACAGTTTTAAGCCCCTGTTGTTCCTGATGCGTCCAGTAGGGGGAGAAGGATATATGGCGAAATAACGTAAAACGACGCTGGAAACAAACACTAATAACCGTCTAGACTTCAACTAATTTTTATGTATTTGTTTATTTAAATAAACGTTATAGACAGTGGATTTATCTGCACTATAAGGATTAAAACATCCAGATGTTCGGTTGGGCTTCACTCCTCAGGCTAATACACATAGTTGAATCAGATGGTCAAAGTAATGATATTTGACCTACTGAAGAATTAATTATTTTAAACTGTTTTATATACAGGAAACTGACTGATATATGTTGTTGTGAAGTATATACAGTTACATTTATGTACCATATTAGCCTTGAGATATGCAGTACTTAATCGGATCCTGCTGAAATATTTACAATTGGTCATCATACAGCTAGAACAGTGTCCTACATAACATTTAATGAAGACAAACACAATTTAACCCTTTTCTAAAATTCCAAGGGCCATTTAAAAGAAAGAGACAATGTTTTTGTTCACAAAAAGGTTATTTATTTACAAAAGAAGCTAAAGTTGAATAGTGGTAGAAACAATGGTTATAAAATAATAGCCCAATGTCATGGTTGAAATTTTTTGGGGGTTCAAAAGATAGGTGTTTATAAAAGTTTAGAGACAGAGATTTTAATTTTCTTAAGTAGCTAAAGCAGATAGGCCTACACACCTTAATGAGATACAAGTTAAAAAGAAGAACTAAAGACAGAGTATGATAAAACACACATTAAGTGCACATACATTTTAGTCCAGATCAGTACGCTATTTTAAGAAAACTGTATGATATACATTAGAAAATTAGATCGTCTCATTTATAAAAAAAAAACAACTTAAACCAAAATATACATTTAAACCATATGGGCCAAAGTTTTTAACGTGGGCTTTATAATGCATTTATGTTTGTATGTATTATTTGTAAAACAAAATATTAGAGTGACTGTGCAGTTTGAATCTTTAGAGAGATGTTCATTCAAATACATACATACATGCCTATTATAAATGTGTTTGTGTACACATCATAAACTGTAATTAACACATTTCCAATATCCACTGTGTTGCTCCAGAAACCATGTGGAGTAGGCTATGTTTAAATGCAAGGAGTAAACTGGGTCTTACCAGTAGATGCCATGTCACGCAAGGTAAAGACAGACAAGATAAAAATAAAAATTAAATGAATTTTAAAAGTGAGTGAGACAGAGCAGATAAAGAGAAGACTAGGGCAGCTTTTAAACCTATATGTGGTTAAGTTTGCTAAGTTTGAGCCAGACAGAACATCAACCTGACCATCAAGTAGCCAACTTTTATTGTCTCTCGAAATAATAGACTTTATTACAGTTTTTTACCTTCAATTTGTTACTATTTTCAGAACTTTGATGTCATTTTTCAAAACTCTAGACACAAAACTCACAACCAATGATCAAAATGCACATTTTAAAAACTCTAACCGTTTTCTCAATTGCTTGGATACAATGTACATAAAACTTAGATCATTTGTTCATCCAACAAAAATCAATTCAATATGACACAACTTAACATCAAAGTACTATTTCAAAAGGCAATTCACACATTACATTTCAAATGAGTGTCTATTCATTTCCTTACAATGATCTAACTATCAATTGATACAACTGCTCAAAATGATAACTGTTGCATGACGCACAATCTTCCATGTTTACAGTAAATCATGAAAGTTTCAAGATAATGAGATTCAATAAACCTATGTTGTGATTGTAGTGTTTTGCATCAATATATCACACACTTTGTTGAATGTGTATTATCTCTACTACTGCAGTACTGCTTTACAAAGATGTGTTTACTGTACATGTGCCATAATGAAACCTGGATCACCTATTTTGTTCTACAACATTTAATGATTGTACGAAAAATGACAGTGAAACTATCGGTTGCTTGTGTGTGGGTGATAGTTTTGTTTAGGCCTATTTCACAGTAAATTTGTTTTTTGAACCAATGATTGTGCAAGTGCAAGATTTCTTAAAAGATGTGAATGCACAATGCAATGTTTTGAACATTAGACAGCCTGTGTTACAAGTGATAACCGTTTTGAGTTTTGTGTCTAGAGTTTTGAAAAATGACATCAAGGTTCTGAAAATAGTAGCAAAGTGATAGTAAAAAACTGTAAATTATAGACCCATCTTTTGAATTGACATTGAATCTTAGCTTATCGTTTAGAAATAATCAATATTGCATCATTACAATTCAATCAACAACAATAACTTTAGCAGATTATTTAAAATACCTCAATTCATGTCGCTTCTAGAAGGTCTGATGTTATAGATCTGTAATGAAATAGGACTAGGCTTATATAACGTCATTAGTGTAGTCTCCCCTACTGGACGCATCAGGAACAACAGGGGCTTAAAACTGTCAGGGGCGTAAAACTGCCGGCTCCAAGTCTGCAGCCTCCCCCTACTCGACCTAAACCTAACCGCGTCCTCTAACTGACGCTTTCCTTTAGCGTCAGTTAGATGACGCGGTAGGATCGCGTCATGTAAGTGACGCTAAAGGGCGCCTAAAACGTCGCCCTTTGACCATATTGAAGCATGGTCAAAGGTGACGCCTTGGGGTGAGAATGCGTTGCAATTCTCTTGAACTTTTTTTTTTAACTGAGAGAAGTATAAACAAAAGTTTTCACTAACTGACTGTATTTACACTTTAGCTTATGTCAAAAACGAATTATAACCCCCTTGAAAAATGTTTTTAAACCATGTGGAGGGGTTTATGACTCGGGCCCAGTGCTGTTTCGCATGAACATACTGTAGCCTAGCCTATTGTGATGATATTCTTACTTGGGCTTATTGGTAGTTCGCATTCTTAAAAAGAGCATTACCGCCATCTGTAAATAATGGATCAGAGACATTAACCCTATTTC